CGGCGGCCTGGCGGCGGCCGCGGCGCTGCTCCTGCTGCTGGTGCTCGCCTTGGTGGCGCGCTCCCGGAGGAGGAGCGGCCAGCTCGGAGGCCGGTGAGCGCGCTGGGGGTGGGGACGGGGGCGGGGGACTGCAAAGGGGACCCAGACGGGGCGGCCCTGCCTGACCGCGCAGCGCCCCCACTTAGGTCCTGGGACGAGGACGGGAAATGGCTTGAGGTCTGCGATAAGGGCATCGTGGGGACTTTTTCAAACATGGGCTTCGAGGACTACAGAACAGGTGAGTCCTGCCTCCTGGGACAGGGGGTAGAGATTTCCCTGGCATCGTTGCGGGGACGTATACGTCGTGCCGGGGAGCTTGTGTCACCGCTTCTCCACGCCCCTGTCCCCTTCCCGCTCCCTCCCCCTCGCTTCTCCTGCCCTCCCCACCTCTCCTCTCCTCTCCTCTGTGTTCTCGCTCTCTCTCTAGTCAAGTATGAAAACTTTGAAAACTTCTCTGTGAACTTGGAGAACGTGGACACCACTGTGAAGGTGAGGGGGCAGACGAGGGATGCAAAGGAACTCTCCCGGCTCCGGTTCCAGACTACCTCCCCCCACCGCCACCCGGGCAGGGGCTGGGCTAGGACCAGGCGGCAGTTACCTCCCAGCCAGCCCGAGCGGATGGCTCCCTGTTCTCACTCCCTTTCACGGTGTACTCGGTGGCAGGGGCACATCCAGAGACCTGAGGTATCCTTCTCCTGGCTGTGAGCCCTGTGGAGGCCTCTTCCCCACACCTCCACGCTGCCCAGGACAACAGGAGGGAACTGTCTGCACCGCATCCACTGAAAGAGATGGCCGAGGACCTATGCAGCTCTTGGTGTCCTTGGGCAAAATGAGGCTGTTTCCTTCTCCCAGACTGACTGAAGCCCACCTGGAGGCCCAGTTCACATCCACACTCTTCCACTGTGGACCTTGGGCAAGTCAGTAACTTCTCTGAACCTCAGTTTCCTCACCTGTAAAATGGGTATAACATACTTGTCCTGATGCCTCACATACCACATGTTTGGTCAGTTCTTTGTCTCAGTCCCCTCTCCTGTCTCAGCCCTCATGTTTACGCTGTCTCTCTCGGATCTCCCAATCCTCAGTCCTCCAGCTGGTTTCAGGCCTCAGTCCCTGTTTTCCTGTTCACATTCTTACCGCCTATGCCTCACCCTGAACCTGTAGCCAGCCTGCAGCCCACGCCGTCTCCTACCCTCTCCATATGTAGCTCCTCGCTGTGCCCCTTGCTCTTTCCTTAAATCTTCTCCTCTTCTGAGCCCATTGCTTAATCAATCAGTCCTCCCCTGCCCCACCCCAGCCCCATATCTCCCTCAGTTTCCATGTTCTCCCTTTCCCCATCCTGAAACCCTCAGCCCTGAATCCTTACTTCCCCTATCCCAGTGCCCCAGCCCTAAATCCTTCCTCCTCCCTGACACCCCTGTCCCTAGCTAGGTACAGATACCCTGTGTGTGTGTGTTAGGAGCCCCCAGCTGGCACTCCCTAGGTCTGATCCCCATTCTGAGGCTCCACCCCTTCCTTTCACCCCCAAGCACCCTGGATCCCTGTGTGTGTGTGTGTGTGTGTGTGTGTGTGTGTGTGTGTGTGTGTGTAGGGGGGCATGTGTTTCCCCCGGTCCCCAAAGATGCGGGAAGTGGGACCCTGAGGCTAGGTACAGATACCCTGTGTGTGTGTGTTAGGAGCCCCCAGCTGGCACTCCCTAGGTCTGATCCCCATTCCGAGGCTCCACCCCTTCCTTTCACCCCCAAGCACCCTGGATCCCTGTGTGTGTGTGTGTGTGTGTGTGTGTATGTGTGTAGGGGGGCATGTGTTTCCCCCGGTCCCCAAAGATGCGGGAAGTGGGACCCTGAGGTGGGAAAGCCCCCTCTGTTCCCCTTCTCCTCATTCCCCTAGCCCTCCCTTCCTTCCCTCTCACCTCGCCCGTGCCCCCTTCCCATCCCCTCCTCTGTGTCCTCTCTTCTTTCTCCCTGGTATCACCCACCCCAATCCCAGCAGTAAAGCAGTAATCTCTGAGCCCTGAAGCCCTCGACCTCCTTTGCCAGGAAGATCTGGCTTGGGGACAGGAAGTCAGCGAGTCTCCAGTTCTCCATTAACACAATATAGCATTTCTTGTAAAAGGAGCTGCTCTGCGTCTCTCTTCTTTTCACTCCCTAGTGGTCTCCACTTGGTTGGAGAACAGGGACCCAGAGGAGATGTTGTCGGAGGGCCTGGAGACCACCATTTCTCCTGGGGAGGAAGGGGGGGTCTGTGGGCAGCCTTAAGGGGCTATGAATGTCCTTGTAGAGAACATAGAGACAGAGTGGGGGTGGGGGGGCGCATTTTGTTAGGGAATGGGTGGGGGCAGGAGGCCCCTTGGATTTTGTCATCTGTGCCCTTTTCTCCTTGTCATTGCCAGTTGAGGACTGGAGCTTTGGGAGGAATTGGGCCCTGGGTGCTGGGCCTGGGAGGTGAGTGGCCCAGGCTAGGCCTGCTTTTTGTGAGGGTGGGTTAAACTAGGCCTCCCCAAAGACCCCGAGCCCCCCCAAGCCCCCATCACAACACATACTCACACCAGGGCCTGTGCATGCTGCATCTTGGGCCCTCATGCTCCCGATGTCATGGGAAGTCAGGCCTGCCTGACTGGAGCTGAAGGTGGTTGGGAATAATTTGTCCCCTTGGCTCTTTGGGTGGGGGGTTGAGAAGGGTCCCTGGGATCTTTTTTCTGGGCAGGGACTGGCCATGGCCTTCCATCACCTCTGTCTCTGGCTGCAGGTGCAGGCCAGAACCATAAAGTCTCAGGTGTGAATAGGTGCCCCATCCAGGCGGACTGGTGGTGGGGGACTGGAGCGGGGAAGGCCCTGGAAATCTGGAAGGGGCTGTCTTGAGGTGGTCAGTGGGGAAGGAAGGCTGGAAGAAAGAGGAACTTCTTGGGGGTGGAATGGAGGGTCTTTTGCTTAGCCTGGCCTGTTGCTGGCTGCCTCTCCCAGGGTTCTGAACCCCCTCCCTCTGTCATCACCCTCTGCCTGGTGTTTCTTGGCCCCCACCTCTTGGCGACATTCATGGGCTCTCATATCTCCGGCATCCAGTCCCTCCCTCTTGCCCTGCCCCAGCCATGGCTCTGGGTTCTGCTGACAAGACTATGACTTGGCATCAGCAGCACTCCAGGAGTTGGAGGGGATGAAGGTTGACAGGCTACACTTTGGCCAATCTCCTGTGGTCACCACGCAACGCCCACCCAGCGCCATGACCGCCACCCCATCCTGGACCAGGTGCTGTTCTTTCCATAGGCAAAGGTCTCTGGGGTCATTGTTATAGTTGACCCCTCCCTGGGAGGCTCTCCTTTCTTCAGCCCACTCTCTGAGAGGTGCTGGTGAGCTGGGACCTGCAGATGGCTCTCTGGCTCTTGCCGTCCAGCCTGCGGCAACCACACAGAGTGAGTGAGCCCCAGTCAGGTGCTACCCGGGGGTCCCCGCACATGCCCACGTGAGGCTTCAGTCAGAGCTGCAGGGGGCTGGCCTCCCTCCCTCCCTGTCTCCCTCCCTTTGCAGGGAAGGGCTGGCAAAGCCATGCTGTGACCTCATCCTGCCTTAGGGGGAGTTAAAGCATCACTCTGCAGGCCTGTGGGGGTCCTGTGGCTGTGCAGTTGATGGCCTGCTCATAGCCCTGGGCCGAGGGGCCAGGGGCAGCTGAAATCCACCCCTTCTCCTCTCTGGGCTTCCCCTGGAGGATGAGGGGGCTTTTTCTTCACACAGACAGTGGTGTCTGTGTGCCCTCATCCAGCATCTGCCCGAGGGCCAGGTCTTTCCAAACCAGTTAGAAATGGCTAAGTGGGGAGACACAGGCTGTGGAGTCTTTGTTGAGCCTTGTCACAGACATGTCAGGAAGTGATCAGTTATAAGCTGATCTCACTCATGCAGAAATGGACTTTCTGATTACCCCGAGGCAGGGAGGAGCCCTAGGTTGAAGGGAGGTGGGGGAGCAGCCTGACAGATCCCCTTCTCCCACACCCAGATGTAGCGGGAGGGCGCAGGCTGGGAGGAGCTGATGGGAGAGGAGCGGCGTGGTCTTAAGGACATTATGAGAGTCTATTAATAACAGACATATTCCCTTTAAGGCAATATACCTAGAGCAGGCAGCTACAGGCAGGGGGTCGATCTTAGCAGGGGACTTCCCTGTCCCTGCTCCCCAGGCCTGGCCCAGTGGGTCCTGGGACATCTGTCTGGCCAGGCTGTCTGAGGAGAGGGATGCTGTTGGTGATAATGCCAATGACGAAGGCCCCGACTGTTGAGTGCATTGCCTCTGTGTGCCCTGCTGGGCATTAGGACAGCCACCACCCAACCAAAGCCCTCAGGCCCTAGGGTGCTTACAATTGTGTGGGAAAGACAACACAAGTGACCCCGTTAGTGTGCAGAAGGGTCGGGAAAACATCTGTCTACGATACGTGCAGAGCAGTCAGGAGCCGGTGAGGCCTGGCGAGCAGGGCTTTAGGGGGCTCCGCAAGTTCTGACTTTACCCAGAGGCCCCGCCCTCACTCGCAGGGGGCTCTGCTGTCCACACAGCCATTTCACAGCAGCTCCTCGGATGACTCTCACAAGGAGGATGTGTGAGGAAGTCAGGACAGATGGCAAAATGGAGGCTCAGAGAGGATGGTGACTTACCTGGGGCCACACAGCAGACAGTTAACACGGCTTCAGCCATTTAACCCTGGGTTTGCTCCCCCTGCCCCTCCCTTCTCTGAGGTCCTCCATCCTCTGCAGCGCCCGCCCCCTCCCCAACCCGCAGGCATGTATTCTGGGTCCTCAGGAGCAGTTCAGATGTCAGGTCAGAGACCATGTGTAGGGCATGTGTAGGGCATGTGTTTTTTTGTTTTTACTACTGCACCCTTCTATGGGTACTCCAGTTCACAGTGAGGTCTGATGAGGTTTTGGACAAGCAGACAGCGGGAGAAGTAAGACCATGCCAAGAAGGTAGAAAAAACATTCGCAGGCTGTGCGGGGAGTGCCCTGGAAGCCAGAGACCGCTGTCGGGGCGGAGCTGGAGGTTCGGAGAGGAAAGCAAAGGGGTGCTGGAGTATTTGTGGGTGACAGGACAATAAGACCACGATGAGGCTTTTAGACACCAGAGGAACTTTTGTGTGCTGAACAGGGCAGGGGACACTCCCGCCAGTGTAGACTAGCATCACTGAGGCCTGTTGAGAGGCACTGAGAGCCACCCTGGGATGACGACACTGAGAGCCCAGCTGGAAGCCCAACTCCCCTGGACATGGAAGCTCCACTCAATGGTGGGCTGTGGGGGCACCAGGATGGACTATTCAAGAGGCTGTATTGACTGGGAGGACAGGAGCCTCTCTTTGGTAGATGACAAGGGTTTCTAGCTGGGTCTGTTGAGTTTGGGGTGAATGACCAGGGAATTTCTGGGTGGAGTTGTCCTGGGGGGTTGGGGCTCAGGGAAGGACAGGAATAGGGAAGGACACAGTCTAGGATTCTACATTCTCCATGTGCTGCAGTGGGCAGAAAGACCAGAAAGTGACTGAAAAATGCCAGGGATCAACATGAGGGTTGGAACCTGTAACGTGCATTGTGCACAGGAAATTTCAAAGTGCCCAGTATGGTGGGGAAGGGGAGCTCCTTGGAGTGGCATGGGGAAGGGGGACAAAGGGTCTGTCCTGGAGGGGCTGGGGCAGGGTCTGAAGGCACCAGAGCTCTTTGGCCTGGAAAGGTGAAGGTGTAGGTGGAAATGCTCAACATATGTAGAACTGGGAAGAGTGTGCTGGAGGTGAGAACAGATTGTTCACAGCAGAGGGGCAACCATTGAAATGCAGGTGATGTAAATTAAGAGCAGTTAAAAGGAAGAGCAGTTAAAAGGAAGTGCTACTTTACACAGAGTAATAAACTATTCAGCAAACACCAAAGGTGGGCTGTGCCTGCACAGGTGCTCGGAATGAGATAGGATGAATAAACACTTTACAGTAGCGCCAATGAGACTGGAACGGTGCAGAAAGGCCAAGACCTAACCCGGTGCTGGAGCTGCGAGGGGGACCCAGCACTGGAGGGGGGCACAGGGGCCCTTGGAGGGAGGCTACACGGAGAGACCACATTTGAGTTTTGTGGCTGCTGAGGAGGAGCACCGGAAGGAGGAACTGATGGATGCTCAAAGGCTTTAGACAAATTCAGAAACGATGAAGCCATACATAGCTGTGGGATATCAGAATATTGATAAATAGATTCCCTGGGGAACAGCAACTTGAGGACGCCACATGCCCCTATAATCTGGGTATTATATCAATAATAAAAATTGCTGACTTTCATTGAGGGTCTACTATGTGCTGGGCACTGTTCTAAATATCTATCATCTCATTTAATTCTCATAACAACCCCAGGAGGAAGGGCTATGACTGATTTCTGGTTTTATACATGGGGAAACCGAGGCACTGAGATGTTAAATAATTTGCTCAAGGTCACTCAGCCATCATGTGGAGGAGCCAGGATTTGAACCCAAGCCTTCTGGCTCTAGAGCCCACATTTTTTGCCACTTGCCGTAACTGGGATGCCTGTATTGTTTCCTGTGGCTGCTGCCACAAGTTCCCACAAACCTGGTGGCTTAAAATAACAGAAATTTATTCTCTCACAGTTGTGGAGGCCAGAAATCTGAAATCAAGGTGTCATTAGTGCCATGCTGCCTCCAGAACCTCTGAGGGGGGACCCTTCCTTGCTTGTTCCAGCTTCTGGTGACCCTGGCATCCCTGGGCTCGTGGCAGTACCACTCCAATCTCTGCCTTGGCTTCACATGCCCTTCTGTCCTCTGTGGGTCAAATCGCCCTCTCCTTTCTTTTATAAGAACACTAGTATTTGGATTTAGGGCCCACCCTCAATCTTATCTTGAGATCCTTAACTTAATTACACCTATAAAAA